CTGAATTTCGCGCCAGAGAGCCCAAACCCCTCCGTACCGTTCCTGATTGGCCAGCTCCTTGTGTCCTTTTCCTTTCCGTTGGGCAGGGCGCTGTCAGGACCCCAGATGTCCCGCCTACCGCTTTTTCTGATTAGTCCACAAGTTTTCCCGGGTTCCCGGAGTTGGGAGGAGCCGCCAGGGCGCGGAGTTGCCCCGACTCCGTAATTGAGACTGGCTTTAGACACTACTGCGCCTGCGTGCACCTCTTCCCCGCCTTTTTCCTGGGTGAAACCCAGTTTTAGAGTGACCCGCCAATGGGCCCGCTCTGCGCAGGCGTGGTCAGGGGCGTAGGCCGGCCCGGGAGCGAGGTGTAGGGGGTGTGGCCTAAGGGCAAAGGGGGTTCTCGCGCAAGGTGAGGGGATATTCGGGAAGAGTCGGTTGGGGGCGGGAAAGGGCTTAGAGGGGGTTCGAGGGTGGGTTCAGGGGTTCATAGGGGAAGAGGGGTTCAGGGACCCTGTAAAAGGAGTAGATGAGGTGGTCGGAACAGCCTTAGAGCTCAGGGTCTAGCAGGGTGAGGACGCTCGGGTGTCGGGGGAGGGGAGGATTAGGGGAGGATTAGGGGAGGCTGTTGAGAGTGAGAGTGAGGGAGCAGAGTAATCCCTTCAGTATATAAGCAGATTAGGATATAGGGAGGGAGGGGGATAGGAATCCCAGATTGCAGGAAAAGTACATGAATTTGGGTGGGAGACCTTGAAGAGTCCTCTCTATTCTCTGGGACTCTGATGGAGAGGAATGTGGGTAACAGGAATGGAAGCTAAGGGGATAGTAGAGAAACTGAGAGAAAGTTGCTGGAAGGGTTTGGGTGAGATGTCAGGAAGCTGGCTTTTCTGTCAAGGGATCTAGGCTGCCTGGATTCCCAGGGGCCTTGAGGAGGCATCCTGCCCTACATGTGGCCGCATTCATCAGGGGCCAGTCCTTGGGCCAACACTTTAACAGGGAAGGACCCGGGAGTCCTGTCTTGGTGGCGTCTGGATGGGCTTCCCCAAGGCCTTGCTGAGCCATGGAGAGAACTCTGGAGATTGGGCTCCCCGCCCCTGCACTGCACATCTCTTTTCTCACCTCCGACCTGGAATGACAGAGACTGTAGGAACTTAAAGAGGACGGTAAAGGCACTGTCCAGACCCTAAAAGTTTGAGTAAAGCCTAAGAGCTCCCTCTCAGCCTTCTCAAATTCTCACCATTTCATGGTTATTTGCCGTAGTTCAATCAGGAACCAGGTTGGGTCAAACAAGTGATGTTCGGATATTCCTACTTCTTTTAGGAAGTAGGAAAAGAACTTAGGGTCCGGTGGACCTGGCTGTTATTTAAGGATTATGACTTTGTTATTTTAGGGGCTTTCTCTTTGGAAAGTGGCTTGAAAATTGAATTGGAGTGCCCTTGTTTCTCCTATTGTCCAGGGGAACATAGATGGCTGGACACAGAATCTAGAGACTTCAAATAATGTGGAGATGTTTCGACCTTCAGGTCAGTGGGACCAGGCACAGGGACTGGTGGTTGTCTCTCCCTGAGAAACTGACCATTTTTGCGATTCCTCAGGTGCCTCTGGGCTCATTCCTCCATCCCACTTCCAAGCTCGGCCCCTTCCAACCGTGCCAAGAATGGCTCCCACCTGGGTCTCAGACATTCCTCTGGTCCAAACCCTGGCCCATCAAGATGTCTCAGAGAGGCGGCCAGACAACCAGAGATCTCAAGCGATCATGTGGGAACAGGATCTTTCTGGCAACGGACAGGAGCCAGGGTGGAGAGGCAGGTAGGCGTTCACTGTCACTGTTTTCTCAGGCTTGCTTGTCAGTGACCTCTTTACTGAAATAGGTTCCTTGCCCTATTTCAGACCTTAGTTCCATAATTTGTTCATTTTTCCATGAACAATTATTGGTGCATACAATGCACAAATAATAATAAGGCAGTGTGCTAGACACTAGGGATAGAGATAACAAAAATGAATTGGAGAGATCCTGATATCAAGGAGTTTAAAATCCTAAGGGAAGAGACAGATTGACCAACAGCTGATCATAATAAGCATGGTATTAAGGCAAGATGAAGAAATTCAGACTAGGACTGTGTACTATGCTTGTCTGGATTCGTTCTGACAGAGTACATGCTGTTGGAGCTGGCTGTGCTATTTGTCGATGTGTTGTCTGTAAAAACTTCTATTCTTAATGTCTCGTGTGTCTTCCCAAATGTTCTATATTGTCATTTTGCCATTGTGCTCTCAAGTGGGATTGGAAATGGATCTACCTTGCACCCCATCAAAGAGGAAGGAGCATGATGACGAAGGAGGAGCACTGGAGTGGGTGTGAGGAGAAGGACATTCTCTTCCTAGTTAGGCTACCTGCTAAGGGTCCTTTCGCCAGTCACTTAATTTCTCTAGGCTACAGTTCACTGCTTTAAAAAAATTCTGTGGTTCTAGGCCTCAGTGAGGGAGCTGTGCCAACAACTGTTATAAGCTGCTTTAAACTTATTTTGATGCCAATAGACTGTTCTCTAAAGGTCAGGACTATGTAATTTATTGATGTGCTGCCCTCTCACTACTCATACAGTATACCTAACACTCAATAAATGCTTTTAACCAACACCTGGCCTCGCCATATTGATAATGGAAGCCATGAGCTCTCTTTCTCTATATCTCCCTCAAACTTTTCCTTGCCCTTGAATCAGAATTCAGAAGTCTCTGCATGTACTTCCAACCTCTTCAATTCAATGTGTGGCCTTATGATGTGCGCATTTGATGTTTAAGACATCTACCTATACATGTAGCTCTCTCTAGACAACCATGTCCCTCCCATGATCTCAGCTAGCTTTTAGGTCCCATGAGCCCAGACACTGGACCCAATAGGCTTAGTAGGGCCTCAATGAATGATGATGGTGATGGAAATGCAGAGATCTCATGGTCCAACTTTGTCTCCCCATCTCCCTATCTGGGAGCAGAGGGATCTCTTCTGTCTGCACATATGCCCATGGTCACCATCCCAGCCCCAGAGACAAGCCCCCCCTTTGCTAACCTGTCTTTGAAGGTCCATGGAGCTGCAGGGGTCACAGGCCCTGAGCCAGCAGGCTGAGTTGATCTCTCGGCAGCTGCAAGAGCTGCGGCGGCTTGAGGAGGAGGTCCGGGCCCTGAGGGAGACCTCGCTGCAGCAGAAGATGAGGCTGGAGGCCCAGGCCATGGAGCTGGAGGCCCTGGCACGGGCAGAGAAGGCCGGCCGAACTGAGGCTGAGGGCCTGCGTGCCGCCTTGGCCGGGGCCGAGGTTGTCCGGAAGAACTTGGAAGAGGGGAGCCAGCGGGAGCTGGAGGAGGTTCAGAGACTGCACCAGGAGCAGGTGAATCGGGGCATGGGAAGGGCTTAGCTTCACAGTGGGTGAAGCAGAGAGCAGGTATCGAACAAAAGGCCCCCATGAGCAGCGGAGTGATGAGAAGATGTTTGGTGAAGGTGAAAAAACAGATGACCTGGAAAGAGGGAGACCTTGGGTGTTTTGGTCTTATTCAGATTGCAGTCATTCCCAGGATTCAGGTGACCACCTACCACCTGAAGCCCTTTTCTCCTTTCCAGTAGGAAGTAGTTTGTCTTCCTACTTTAGTTCAGGTACCCAATTCATCTGGGAGCGCTGGGGGTGGGGGGTGACAGGAGGATGGTAGGAATGGGGTCCTAAGGTGGACTGGGAAGGGGAGATTGTTCAGTCGGTAAGCATTTATCAGTCTGCCATCCCTGAGACAAGGGTGAGCACATCAGCCTGAGTTCCTGGCCCTTGTGAGTGAAGCTGATAACCTTTTTGGGGGACACACACGTTTACGCTTAATTTAATCTTAATTAGTTAGTTGCAATTGGGAGAAGTGCCATGAAGGATAAGGGAGCCCTAACCTGGTAGGGGCGTTAAGGAAGGCCACCCTAATCAGTCAACATGTTAAGAAAAGGTACCGTAAAGATATTGGAAGAAAACCTGAGTGAATTCATTTGTAACCTTGGAATGGGGAAGATCTTTACATATGAATCAAAATCCAGAGCCATTAAAGAAAAGATTGGTACATTGACTTTATAATACTAAACTTAGGAATGACAAAGTAAGAGTAAAATTAAAGGACAGATGATAAACTAAGGAAAAATATTTGCAGCTTGTATCACAGGAGGAGGCTAATATCCCTAGTATATAATGTGTGTCTGGAAATTGATAAGGGAAAGACGACAATCCAGTCAGAAAATGGACAAAAGAGATCGTTCAAAGAAAAATATAAATAGCCTTAAGATTCATGAAAGATTCTTAAAGATAAATAGACATTTGTGCTGAATAGAGGTTGGCTGGTGAGGAGGCAATAGGAGTTGGTGTGACACTGGGCAGCAGGTGCAACAGGAGGAGGCCGGAGGGGCTTGAATGTAGGAGATGAGAGGGGGCTCTTAATGGTGGTGCGGCAAGGCCTCAGGGCCCATTCAGAACTTCATCTTAAGAGCAACGAGCAACTAGTCAAAGGTTTTAAACAGGAAAATGACATGATGAGATTGGCATTTTATGTCTCAAAAGACCAGTTTTGTGATTTATGTCCAAAAAGATCACTCTGACTATGGTATAGAAATAGGGCCAAAAAGGGCAGACCGGAAATGAGGGCAGCGATTTCTCTCCATCACCATCTATTCCATGACTCCTTCAGAGTCCCTGACACCGTTATCACTGTCGAGGTACAGTGAGAAAAAGACAAGATTCCCACCTTTCTGGAGCTTCCTTTCAAATGAGATGTGCAGACAGTAAGATCATCTCAGATAATAATCAGTGCTGGAAGGACAGAGCATGGTGGGTAAGGATTGGAGGGTCCAGGGAGGCCTTCCTGAGGAGGTGACCTGTATCCACCCCGCCCCTTCCCCTGCCTCCTACCTGAATCTGAGGAGCTGGGGGATTGGGAGAGCAATAGGAGATGGGCTCAGAGACGTGGGCAGAAGCCAAGGTACAGCAGGCTTCACAAGCTGAGGGAAGAAGCTGGGTTCTGTTGAGAATTCCACTGCAGGTTTTTAAAGACTGGTCAGAAAATTGTTGCTGTTGTCCAGGCCAGATATGAGGGTAGCTTACCTCAGGTTGGTGATTGTGGAGGTGAAGAGAAGTGAAGATAAGATTTGCGGGGAGATCTGACCGGAACTGTTGATGAATTGGAGAGTGATGGGGGAGTAAGGCCCCAGGGACTGTCTCCATTTGCCATTCACAGTTGGGTTGTCTGTGGGTTGTCTAAAGTCCCAGAAAGTGGGAGGAGACAAGGGCAAAGCAGTGAGATTTGGAAAGCCCAGATGTGGGAGTGACCTGGCCCCTGCTGAGCCCTGTCTCTCTCTGCAGCTCTCCTCCTTGACACAGGCTCACCAGGAGGCTCTTTCCAGTTTGTCCAATAAAGCTGAGGGTTTGGAGAAGTCTCTGAATAGTCTGGAAACCAGGAGGGCAGGGGAAGCCAAAGAGCTGGCTGTGGCCCAGAGGGAGGTTGAGTTGCTGCAGAAGCAGCTGAGGTACGTGGGGAGTGGGGGGCCCATGGGGAGCCCAGCAGTTGGTGGGTGGGGTGGATCTCTGGATTGCCCTACTAATGGCTACCCTATTCCCACCCTAAACCTAGCAAAACCCAAGAAGAGTTAGAGGTTCAGGTGACCTTGGCTGAGAATCTAAAGAGATATGTGGGGGAACAAGTACCTCCCGAGGTCCATAGCCAGACGTGGGAGTTGGAGCAACAGGAGCTTCTAGAAACTGTGCAGGTGAGAAAGTGCAGGGTACATCTTTATGGGAGTTGGAGGTGGGGTGGGAGGGCTCAAGGCTCTGGTCCTGGGAGAGAAGAGCCCCCTGGAGAAGAGCACAGTCCCCAGTAGAGAAGGCAGTGCTGTTGAGGGTTCAGACAAGCCACTCTCCCTCCCTTTCCCGCTGGCAGCACTTGCAGGAGGACCGGGACGGCTTGCACACGACAGCAGAGCTGCTGCAGGTGCGCGTGCAGAGCCTCACACACATCCTCTCCATGCAGGAGGAGGAGCTGGCCAGGAAGGTAGGCCCCTGTGGGTGGAGGGGTTGGCATGCTGCCAGACCCTGCTGAGATTTCCCCGCCTCCACCCCCCTGCAACACCTCTTTTTGTTGTGTCTCCTGTTGCTTGGGCAGGACAGAGAAAAACCAAGATGCTACCCACTTCCTCTGTCCCCCAGAAGCCCACACTGTCATCCTCCTCTCTGCAGGTTCAACCTTCAGATTCCCTGGAGCCTGAGTTCACCAGGAAGTGCCAGTCCCTGCTGAAATGCTGGCGGGAGAAGGTGTTTGCCCTCATGGTGCAGTTAAAGGCCCAGGAGCTAGAGCACAGAGCATGTGTGGAGCAGCTGAAGGGACAGGTCATTTGTCCCTCTTGCCATATTCTTTCCCCCAACTTGCTCCTTACATAAGGGATAGCATTCAACAAATATTACTGAATGGCTACCACATGCTGGGAACACAGCCCTGAACAAGGACAAGTACCTGCTCTCAGGAGCTTAGGTTCTGGAGCAGATAGACCCACAACAGGCAAGCAGACAATTAGATAATGTGTGCTGTGAAGAAAAAGGTGGACTAGATGATCATGTGACTGAGAAAGACTGGCGGGGGATCAGCCTTAGGATGGTCAGGGACAGCCTTTCTGAGGAGGTGGCATGTCCAGGGCCTTGTGTGGGTCACAGGGAGTTTCCTCAGGGTCTGGGCACATCGAGCAGGCTTCTGGAAGGAAACCTTGGGCTTCATTTTCAGGAACCCAAGCTTCTTGTTTCCCTGCATGGTGTTCTTTAGAGACCTCTGCATCTGCCCCTTCATTCCCAGTGCGCCCCGTACAACTTTAGTGCACTGCCCTGCCTCCTCTCTTCTCCCAGGTGGCAGAGCTCCAGGAAAGAACTGCCACCCAGAGCCAGGAGCAGGCTATCCTGCAGCGCTCCCTGGAGGACAAAGCCGCAGAGGTAGAGGTGGAGCGGATGGGCGCCAAGGTCAGTGTCTGAGACAGGCAGAGGTTAAGGGAAGACTGAGAAACCCCAGGTCTGTGGGTGAGGGCCCCAGGGAAGGAACTTTTTTCTTTATGGCATCCTTCCAGGCCCTGCAGTTGGAGCTGAGCCGTGCCCAGGAGGGTGGGCGCCGGCGGCAGCAGCAGACAGCCATGGCTGAGGAGCAGCTGAAGCTTGTGGCCAATGCTGTCAGCAGGTATCTGGATGAGGGTGGGGTGGAATAGTATTTCTGCTTCCCCAGCCTCCTAGACACCTTGGCGTTTAAGAGCCTCGGGCAAGAGGGGCTGGAAAGCTGGCCACTGGAGGATGCAGAACTAGAGGCATTTAGCACTGTAAGAGTTCCTGTGTTTGTTTTTCCTGGGGCAACTCCCTCCAGGTCACACCGGGACCACTTGTTATGATTCCCACTGCACGTTTGGCTGGAGGTTTGGCTGAAGGTGAGGCAGTGCTTACTGCCATAGTTTGGTCCAGTAACAGCTTGAGCTAAATAGAGCATCTGGGAATATCCCCACCTTCAGTTGTTCGAAGAAGGGGAGTGTGGATACTTGGTCTTTTCTTTCTCTCTTTAAAATTTTACAGACATGCCTGGTTAGTCAGAAAAAAAAATCGTCTATTTTAAAACTGTACACTTTACTGGCTTATAGATATTCCATCTAAAACATAAGAGTTTCCTTCTTAATCAATTGCAAGCCTGTGTTTCTCATACTATCTTCCTAGGTGTTTCCTTCCCAACTCCTTATATAACCTTTAGAAAGACCTGTAAAGAGAAACACAAGCTTCTTTGTGTTGGGAATCATCCCTCCTCAGCCTTGGACATTGGGGTACCTGGTCTATGAAGAGCTTTTAGCACAGTGCTGGGCTTGTCACCTGCTCTCTATAAAATGTTTACTATTACCACGAGGCTCTTCTTGATGGATCAGATAACAATTTGGGGGTTAACAAAATTGTGACACAGGACAGATTCTTGCCCATCTTCTTCTGTTGGATTTGTACCTTGGGGACTAATTTAACTTTAAAAAATGATGAAAGATTGCAAACACATGTGGAATTAGAGAGGCTGGTTATGATAACCACTGCCGAACTTCAATCCATTGCACATGATCCTACCCCCAAGAGAACAGAAGGATAGCTGTGGAGAGGGTTTTACCTTGGTCACAGGACCTCACTGAAATGGTTCTTGCTAATGAATTATTGCCAAAAAGTCCACAAGGCATGAGACAACGCAAGCTTGATCTGTTGCCAGATTTGTTAGTCTCTAGATGGCTTGGAGACCTTATGAGAAAATGACTTTAATAAGAGCCACAGAAGGTGTTGGAAGCAACCATCCAAACAATTTTCAGGTAAAAGCGGTCTCTGCCTTGTTGCTGGGACGCAACCTCCAGCCTTTGTCATCTGCTTGTTTAGTACAGACTTGGACTCCCCAGGGAAGTTCGAGCCTGGCCCCTAGATGCTGCCTCGGCCCTCCCCCGGGGGCCTGTTCAGCCTTCTCAGCTTTTGTGAACCACATTGGTCCTGTTTGGGGCACAGCCAGCTGATAAAGCACATGCACCTGGCCTTCATTGTCAGAAGGGATAACTTTGATCTCTGATGCATGATAGCAATCAAAAAACAGGTTGTAAGAAAAAAGCTTCGAAGCTTGCTTGAAAAAATACACAGTTATTTAATGCCATCTTTGGGTAAGGGCCCTTTAGAAAACTGATGGAAGCTATGGGCTTTGTTCCTTAGAAAAATGCTCATGAGTTCACACACCCTGAACATTGCACATGTGCCAGGAGATTCTCAAAACCTGGAGAGGCATCCAGGGGCCTACAGGTGGAAAAGTCTAAATCAGCTAGAGATTAGCCAGCCTATGGACACTCGTTTTAGCCCCCGTAGAATCGTTTTTACTCAACCCTTTACTGCTTTATGGCATCTGGGTCCAGATAAGGTATGGCCCCACGAACCTCATTATTGTTTCTACTGCAGGGCTGTTATTGAAGACACTGAGTGCCAGGGCCCAGATGAGAAGCTTACCGTAGGTTTTGGGACCAGGAATAGCTGTGCTTTTCTTAAGAGCAACTGGGTCATTTTATCTGGCAATCACTAAAGGGCTTAAGCCCTCAGGTTTTCTTTTTTTATTGGCCTAGGAGCCCAGGCACAACTGGCAGAGCATAGAGTTGGGGTGCCTATCTTTGGCTTCAGCTTCTCTTTTCCCAGCTCTGATTTGCCTTGCCTGTTTTCCCCATGTTCACAGCAGTACAGGATAGAGGGAGTTGTCCTTAAAGGCACATCAAGTCCTTTTGGGAATGAGGTGGGGTTGAAGGGTCATTGACCTTGTACCTTCTCCAGCTTTCAGACCTGGCTCCAGAGCACCATGGCTGAGGTGGAGCGGGCTGCAGCCCGGCTGCCCAGCCTCAGCAGCCGAGCTAGCTATGCCGTCCGCAAGGTCCACACCATTCGGGGTGGGTAGTGCGACTGTCAGATGTGCCCTGCCCCTGCCCTGCAAGCTCTCTCATCCTGTATCCCTCCTCCCGCCTTCTCACCAGTTCATGCATCTCTTTTTCTTTTACTACCCCATCTCCCCTTTCCTCCAACCCACACTCGTCAATCCGTTCCTCTCTGCCTTTTCCCACCCAGGTCTGATGGCTCGAAAACTGACCCTTGCTCAGCTGCGCCAGGAGAGGTGAAGTTTGGGGCACAGGGATGGTGGTGGGGCTGCTGGGACCCAAAACAGTAGGACTGAGGCGGGATGGGGCTTGGGGGACAGGCAGCTGGGGAATTTCCCTGACTCTATTTCTCTTCCCTGTCTCAGCTGCCCCCCACCCCCACCGACCATGGATGTGAACCTTGAGTTGGAGCAGCTGCGGGAAGAACGGAATCGCCTGGATGCAGAATTGCAGCTGAGTGCCCGCCTCATCCAGCAGGAGGTGGGCCGCGCCCGGGAACAAGGTACACCTGGTCCTGGGGTCACTGAGCTGGTGCAGGGGCCAGAGTCAGGTGCATTGAGATAGCCAAGAAGAGGGAAGAGCTGGAGTCTAGAGCATGGAGAGGCCCGCGTGAGCACTACCCCTTCCTAGGGGAGGCGGAGCGGCAACAGCTGAGTGAGGTCACCCAGCAGCTGGAGCAGGAGCTACAGCGAACCCAGGAGTCCCTGGCCAGTGTGGGGCTGCAGCTGGAAGCGGCTCGCCAGGGTCAGCAGGAGAGCACAGAGGAGGCTGCCAGTCTGCGGCAGGAGCTGACCCAGCAGCAGGAGATCTATGGGCAAGGTGTGCAGCATACCTGTGGAGGGTGGGGAGGGACCACAAACCAAGGCTCCCCAACATACCCCATCTGTACCTTCACTCCAGCTCTGCAAGAGAAGGTGGCCGAAGTGGAAACCCGGCTGCGTGAACAGCTCTTGGAAACAGAAAAGAGACTAAATGAGGCTCGGAGAGAGCATGCCAAGGCCGGTGAGGTTTGCCGGGGGTAGACGTGGGCTTCTAGGGAGGAGAAAGTGTGGAGACATAAGATTATTTTGAAAACTTTTTGTAAAGCTTTCTTTGAAGTATGCAGGTAATGAAATTATCAGGGAATGGCACAGTTGAATTCTCAGGTAGTGAACATACCCATGTAGCCAACACCCAGATCAAGGTGATGCAGGACGGGACTGATCCCCCCCAAGTGGGGATTCAAGTCCTGTACTGACTTATATATTGACTGCGTGCAGGAAAGAATTCAAGCACTCATCAGAGTTAGAGACGAAAGGAAAGTTTATTAAAGAAGGAATAACGTTTCATAGAGCGTGGTCGCCTCTCAGAGACAATGAGAGGGACAGAGAATGAGAGAGACCCCAAGTGTTTGGGGAGTTCAATTTATTTGTCATTCTTAGTTTCTATGAATTACAATTTAAAGACTTTGTTTACCTGTTTTCCTTTCGTGATATGGGTATGCAGCGTTGAAAGGTATGGGTATGCAATGTTAAAGGTGTAGGTATGCAAAGTTAAAGGCAAGCTAGCAATTTGTTCTATAGGTTCCTTATGATCAGGCCTTTGGGAATGAATGGTTGGGTTTGTGTAGGATACGACTTTCTTAAAGACTTTGTTTTCCTTTCATGGTCTGGGTAAATGGTTTGTTAGCAATCTCAATAGGAATCTTTCTTTGTTCTGTAAGATTCCCGTGGTCTGGCAGCACATTGCAGGCTCTGAATACAACTAACTTGATTTAATATTTAGTTCTCATGCCTCTTCCCTATATTAAAGTGACCAGCCCAAGAGCCCGCTGAGCCTTTCCCAGTCACTCCCTCCACAAAGGCAACCAACATCTGACGTCTCCCACCAATGATTATTCCCATCTTTTTACTAGGAAAAATTTTAAACACCTAGACAAGTTAAAAGAATCATACAATGGATACTCATGTCTTCTCAAACTCAGTGAAGCACTTATTAACTTTTTGCCATGTTTGCTGTCTATTTCTGTATACACACACACTGATACATGCATTTTGGGAGAATTATTTAAATTACAAACATGATTGTTGATCTGCATCTCCTATAAAGAGGAAAGTTTCCTGTATAATGTCAATACTATTGTCACACTTTAAGAAAATGGACATTAATTGTACACAATAGAGTATCCATCCAGTCTGTATCCAGATTTTCCCTAAGAGACTCCAGGAAGGTTTGGGTGTGGGGAACGTATTTTGGATGCACAGATTCATAGGCTCCTAGAATATCAGCCATCTCTCCCATGGTACAGAAGAGACAGAGTCACAGAGTATAAGTGGCTTCCCTGAGTCACAGAGCTGGGGACCCAGCGTTCTTGCCCATCATTCCAACCCTGTTTTCATAGTGCCTTGCTGCCTCTGGGCTGCTCCACACCTGTCCCCTCTGTCCTGGCTTCTCCACAGTGGTCTCCCTGCACCAGATCCAGCGCAAAGCCACCCGGGAAAAGGAGCGGAACCAGGAGCTAAGGCGCCTACAGGATGAGGCCCAGAAGGAAGAGGGGTTGCGGCTGACCCAGCGCCTGCAGGAGCTAGAGAGGGACAAGAACCTCATGCTTGTAGGGGAAGGCAGAGAAGGGCCTTTGGGCTGATGGGGGAGTAGAGGTGTGGAAGGAGGAGTGGGAGGCTCTGCCTGGGCTAGGTGGCGTTTAACCCTCTCCTTCCCAGGCCACCTTGCAGCAGGAGGGTCTCCTCTTCCGTTACAAGCAGCAGCGACTGTTGGCAGTTCTTCCTTCCCTACTGGATAAGGGGAAATCTGTTGAGTCCAGCCCCAGGCCTTCAGGGTCTTCAGCACCTTTACCTCCAGCAGCAGCACTCTCCAGGGAGTCCATAAAAGGTAATGGTCTGAGTAGGAAGGAGCAGAAGAAGGGTGGGGTGTGGGCTTCAGGAACCTCTGTCCCAGACACTCTTGAGTGCATGAGCATTGTTCTCTGTGACCCTTGGAGGCCCTCAGCCTCTTTTATCCATGCCAGCCTTGCACCAAAGAACCTCCTCCCTCATAACCCTCCCATCCTATGACAGCCCTGTTCCTCTGCAGGACAGCCTTCTCTTGTCTGGCTCCTATCCATTGGGGTCTTTTTTCCCAGGATCCCTCTCTGTCCTGCTCGATGACCTGCAGGGTCTGAGTGAGGCCATTTCCAAAGAGGAAGCTATTTCTCAAGGAGACAATCCAAACTCTCCTGCTCCCACCTGCCATTGAGCAGCTGGGAGCTTGGAGCAGCCGGGAGCTTGGAGCAGCCAGGAGCTCAAGGGGGACCCAGGAGGGCCAGGAAGATTGTGGAGAAGTGGGGTGGGGTTTGGGGATACCAGCCCAGCCCTCTTCCTCATCCACGTGCCCTGGGAGACACTATCCACCAAGATGTCTGTGAATTCTGTGGTTTAATAAAGATGGTGACAGTAGGAGCTATTGTTTAAACATGTTGTCTCTGGGAATACAAGGGACTTTTCCTTGCAGCCGCCTCTCCAGGAAATGCGAGCAGTCCCACACACAGCTCTTTCTCTAGATGGTATTTTTGTCAAAACCCCTTTCCTAGGCTGCTTGGGGGAGTTTTTTGAGAAGCTCCAGGTTTTCTTTATTCTCTACTTCTGTTTTAAAACTCTTTTGGAAAATGATTAATGCCAGGAGTGAGGAAGCTAAAACATTCACTCATTCAAAAGGAATCTCAGAGCCAGGCAGTGTCCTAGATCCAGGGCCACAGTGGGGGCTTGACGGGCAGGTCCTTGCTACTAGGTGCTTACATTCTAGTGGGAGACTAAGACGTTGGACAAGTACTAGAATGAACAAACGAGCATTTCAAACATGTGCCATGAAGAGAGTAAACAAGAACGGTGTGATACAAACTGACTCTTTGGGCCATGGCATCATCAGATGAGGGGACAGGAAAGGCCTCTCTGAGGAGGGGTGATTGTGCTGAGACCTAAGTAGAGTGGAGCAAGCTGTGCAACCACTGGAAGAGGTGTTCCTTGCAGGGGTGGGCAAGGGCAGAGGCCAGGAGGGGGAGTGAGGGAAGGTGCTGGGGAGTGGTGTGCGATGGCAAGACAGGACTTATTCTGAGTCAGTAGAAAGCTCTCAGAGTACTTTTCAAACAGGGAAGTAGCCACACAATTCGATTTACATTTTTAAGAGACATGTTGGCTGGCTATGGAGGACTGGATGTTGGTGTGGGGCTGGATGAAGAGACCAATCGATTAAGAGGGTATGGGGGAGGCTGGGGGAGATGGTGCTCCAGTATGGGGCGTGGACTGGTTTGGCTGCTTCTAGGTGAGCCACAGAGGAACAGTGGTGTCCCTTACTGCTGGTGAGAGACCAGGTGGGGAACAACTTGGGGAGGAAGTGAGTTCTGTTTTGGACATTACTTCTGAGAGGTTCATTAGACCTGCAGACAGAGGAGTCCTTTTTAAGGGAATGTTCTAGCAGAATCCCTGAGAGAGACAAGATTGAGACTGAGACCTAAAAGATGAAGGGAGGAAGAAGGTGGACAGGACAGAGTTGGAGCCAAAGACCAGGAGAGGGAGCCAGAGGGGCAGGAGGAAGAATCCAGAGGGAGGAGGGATAGGCTGGGATGACTGTGGAGCTGAGGCAGCCCCTTTCTGAGCCTCTTGGCCATGACTGATGGAACCAGTTCTGAGGTGCGGAGAAGGAATCAGGATGTTCTCATATTTCCTTACCTGTAGTCACCCCAAGTGATTCCTAGATGAAATTCCTCGGATGTCACTGTTTGGGAGGTCCCCTGTATGCTTGAAGAAGGCACATACTGGAGAGGCCAGTGGAAGTTCTGAGCCCCAAGGGGGAGGGCTCAAAGAGACCAACTCCCCTGCTCCCAAGTGTCCTGCCCCCAGCCCTGTAATTACCCCCATGCCTGATTGCTCCCATTCCTTGGCTTCCAGTGGCTTCAAGGAATGAAAAGCGGAAGTTCATGTGATTATGGAGGTGTGCATTGATTGCTGCAGGGTGTGTATGAGGACAAGGGTGGGGTGACCAAAGTCTAGGTCATTGACAGAGCCAGGTTGGCCGCGTCCTGAGCTGGGGGACTAAAATAAGGGACGCCAACCTCAGAGGTTACACATCAGACATGGCCTTCCAAACAGGTTAGGCTAGTTAAGTTCTGATGGGATTCCTTGTGTCACTGGGCTGGCCCCTCCCCAGAGACTGGCCTCCTCCTTTCCTTCCTCCCCTATAAAGCTTCTTGGGGTTCCCAGGCACCCAGACTCAGGCCACACCTAACTTTGGGGGCCAGGAGACATCCATTATGCTCAACTGGAAGCTACTGGGGATCCTGGTCCTTTGCCTGTATGACAGAGGTGAGCTGGGAGTAGAGGTCAGGAGTACAATTTTGGGTAATGGGGATGGTCAGGATGAGACGAGAGTGACCACTAAGAAGGAATGGGATGAATTGGATGCATAGAGATAGAGGAGATTCTGGGAATTCACAAGAGGTCGGGAAGACACATGTAGCTCTGAATAAATGTTTTGCTGGTTGGGGTGTAGCTCACTGTGGAATTCAGATGTGCGGAGCTGAGATCCATGTTGAGAGTGGAGGTCATTGTAGAGATGGGAGCTGGGTGCCACATGAGGCCAAGGTATAGACCATTTGGAGGCTGCAGATCAGCATAGGGGCCATGCCAGCAGGGCGTCCCAACCAGGGTTGGATAGAGCTTATTTGGGGTGGTCTGTCAATTTAAAGCTCAAGTTAATCGTTCAGGACAGGTTTTATGTCATTTTAAGATCACTTCGGTAGTTTGTAAATGTGTAGAGAGCTCTTTGAGAGTCACTTCTGAGGTCTGTTTGTGGGATCAGCTCAGGCAGATCCCAGACAGGCTGTGCCTCCTGGGTCTGTAGCTGGGCGGTGGCTGGATCTGGCCCTTACCACCTCTTACCTTTCTCCTTCCTTCTCTATAGGTATCTCAGGCAGTGGAGACCACCCCCTTCCCCCACCCACAGATGCCAGAGAGGGGGAGGGCTCCCCAACATTGCCTCAGGGTCCCCCAATCCCTGGTGAACCCTGGCCTGGGGCACCTCCTCTCTTTGAGGACCCTCCACCTCCAGGCCCCATTCGTCCCTGGAGAGACCTGCCTGAATCTGGAGTCTGGCCTCCTGAGCCTCCTAGAACTGATCCCCCTCAACCTCCCCGGCCTGACGATCCCTGGCCAGCAGGACCCCAGCCTCCGGAAAACCCCTGGCCACCTGCCCCCGAGGTGGACCATGGGCCTCAGGAGGAGCCTGACCTAGATCCCCCCCAGGGAGAGCACAGATAACCATATCTCCCAGAGGCATCTGGGTCTCCAGGCAGAGTGCACCCAAGCCCATCTCTACCTTCTGATTACTCTTGAATTCGTCCCGGTTTAGCCTAACTTCTTAATTTCCTTCCTCATTCCAGTCCTCTCCCCTCTACTTGCCTCCCACCTTCTCTTCCCTACCTTGCACTCCTGGGGCCCCAGCTGGCTGCCCTGTGGTCTCTGCTGCCTCCTGGTGGCGAACGGCTGGGAATTATCAGAAGACCGTGATGGTTCTTCCATGAAATGGAAAAATAAAAATCATGTTTTCCTAATTTTGAAGTTAGGCTGTTTCTTTGCCAATTATTAGATCTTTGAATATTCAGATGCCTTCCTCACAGCCACACACCTACAGAGACCTGGAAGTAATTGAACTCCTGGCTTGCCCATATGCATCAAGATGTAGAGCTCAGCCACAGGGGGTTGGAAATGTAACTGTTAGAGTTACAAGGATGTTTAGACCCACGTTTTTCACATTCTGGGACCCCTATTTTGAAGAATGAGAAGCCAAGTTAAGTCATTAATTTATAGTGTGCACACCCCTGGCAAAACATGGAAATGTTCCCAGGGGCGTGTGTGCAGGACCAAGTTTTAAGGGGACCAGTTTCTATCAATATATGTGCCTCTTCCTAAAATGAGTCTGCCTGACAGCTGTGTCCTACTCCACGCCCGCCTCCAGCAATAAGCCACCCTTCTCCCACTGGGCAGATGAAGGTGAGCTCTCTCGCCCACCCAAACCCCGACCAGGGTGCTCTTCCTGGAGCCATCAAACGAAAGTCAATGGGAAATAGAAATAGCCCTTTCCATCTCATTGAGAGATACCTTTTTAATAAAAATTTTCTTTTTAATCATTGTCAGTATTTGAAGTTTTGATCGATTGTGTCTTGTAATGATTGTAATTATAAACCCACTGAAGAATAACTGTTTTTGAACACTTAGAGTCTTATGGTCACAGAAAATAAATTTAAATTTATGTACATATTTTTGTTACAGAGATATACAATAAAAGACTTTCCAAAAATACAATAAAATACAAAAAAAAGATACAATGAAAAAAGTTTTTTATTGAGATAAAACTGTAGGGTAAGTGGAATGGAAAAAGGAAGTAAAAAAATGAAGTAAATTTGCTAACTGGTTTAAGGGCTTGGTCACTTATTAAAAGGGTGTTAGGAAAGTGCTACGGTATATTCCATTTGCTACATTTAAAAGAGTGATGTGACATTCGATATGTAATTACAATTCCCTGGAGAGTCTACCCTTTGCAATATTTATGGTTAAAAATGTTAGCTGTTGACTTAAAAATGTGTGAGGGGTACATAGTTTTTCAACGGTCTTTGAGGGAGTATTTGAGCAGGAAAGTTCAAAAGGCAGGAGCCCAGAGATCCCTGTGGCCTAATGTCAACCGAGTGGCTGGCCAGGGTGGGGGTTGAAGAAGGGATAAAAGAAATTGAAGGTTTGTAACTTTAAAATTCCTTCCTAGGTCTCATTTTGTTTACGTGGTAACTTCCATCAAAACCTAGGTGACCAGTTTGGGGGGAAAAAGCCCGAAATTTAGAGTTTAGAAATAATCTTAGAACACAAGAATAGGCCCCAAAGTGGTAGTTCACCATTCATTCATTCATTCATTCATTCATTTATTCATTCATTATCTTATACCCTTAATATGTCCATCAATGCCTGGTGCCATGGGAGAATGTAAAGAATAAAATCATACAGTTCCCACTTTCAGGAAGCTGAAGATTAAGCCCAGAGACAGGATTTACATGCAAAGGTAAATAACAATGACACATAGTAAAAGATGCATGTAACTAAATGATTGCATGAGGAAGCACCAGAGTAGCCTCTGCAGTCAACGCCATGAGTTCCGAAGAGAGTCAAGGGAGCTGTTAATAGTCAGGGAAGGCTTCCAGGAGGAGAACTCAGCGGGAAGGGCAGCCTGCGAGGCTGGAGCACCGGCCAGGATGCGGCAGAGTCGGACCTGGCCTCACAAGGCAGCTCTCAGGCACAGAGGCTTCAGGGGGAGGGAATGTTCAGTCACCTCCTGACCAGCCCCGCCTTCGTGTGCCTCGGCTATCACCGGCCTCTGCTCTCAGTGTGTGCTGTTTCCACCTGCCTGGAATGGCCTTCCTTTCCCCAACCAGTCGTATTTCTCTTCGGCGACGCCTGTCCACGCGCCGCTCCCCATCCCTGCCCAGCGCCGCCGCGACGTTCCGAGTGCAGCTGTGCGTGGAACTGATTCATTCCTGGCTGTCCTTCCCTCCTAGGCCTCAGCCTCTTGGGGGCAGGGACTGTTCTGCATATTTCTTTTCCGACTCCACCATTTTGGTGCTTGCTGAGTCCCATGTACCATCACTCCCCGCAGCTCGCCTCTGCCGGCTGCTGGCACTTTACCAGGTGCAGGGAGTACTGAAGTGCCTGGAAATGTGTCTCCCCTACACGCCCCTCATGCCTTCGCCCCCACCCCAACCCTAAATGGTCTGACAAATATGGGGGTATCAATACCTTAGTTCTCTGAGCCCAGGTTTCCCCCTATGAGACTTTACTTGGTCTCCTTCCCTTTTAGGTCTACCTCTGCCACACTTTCCTCACTTTTTGGTAATCCCTTTTACTTGAATCTTTGTCCCAGAATCTTCTTCTGGTGAATTCAATCTAAGGCAAAATATTGTTTGCTACAATAAGACACAGAGTATAGTTTACTACAAACTATTGCAGCTACTTTTTACTAAGCATGTGCTGTCTGGTCCCTGTTGTCAAATTTTCTACAGGTTAAATTCTCACTTAATTTGCACAATAGCCCTATAGTTATCACCATTTTGGAGAAGAAACAGAGGCCAAGAGAGGTATAGTCATGCAAGGTCACCCAGGGATTTGAACTCAGGTCTGTCCTATGTCAATGTCTCTAATTTTAACCACTGCATTGTCCCATCTCTGTATTCATCTGTGCAACCCTGACACAAAATACAGTGCCTGCGCCTTCATGGACATGTTGTATTACTCAGGGTTCTCCAGAGAAACAGAACTAATAAAATATAACAATGGAGATTCGTTATAGGAATCAGCTCTTAAGATTATGGAGCCTGAGAAGTCTCCCAGTCTGCTGTCTGCCATCTGCAAGCTGAAGACCCAGAAAAGCCAGTGCGGTAATTCAGTCTGAATCTGAAGGCCTGAGAACCAGGGGAGCAAATGGTATAGGTCCCAGTCCATGTGGAAAGGCCGGGAGTGCTGAAGTCCATGCGTAGAAGATGGATGTCCCAGCTCAGAGAGCAAATTTGCTCTTCCTCCATCATCCCATTCTATTCAACCCTCAAAGATTAGATGAGGCTCATCAGCATTGGTGAGGGTGGATCTTCTTTACCCAGTCTAACAATTCAAATGCTAATCTCTTCCAGAAACACTCTTACGGACACACCCAGAAACAATGTTTTACCAGCTCTCTGGGTATCCCTTAGCCCAGTCAAGTTGACACAGAAAATTAACAGTCATGTATGTGATGAACGGCTGAGTTTATTAACGAATGGTGAGTTTGGGGAGCAGAGAGTAGATTGAAATGGTTAGAGTAAAGGGTTTGTAACCTGGAGAAGATGGAGATATTGTTAGACAGGTAAGATTGGGGGGAAATTAAGGGAGGTCTAGGTACCAGGCTCAGGAGCAAATACCTGAAGGTCTTTCTCTTCTGGTAGAACTGTGCCCAGCGGTGGGGAGGAACACATACGCATCTGTGTATACTGTGGCAAGGAGATGTGGAATGGAAAGTGTCAGCATAAGAAACGTAAATTTTTATGAGTTCATTTGAGCCGAACATGACATATGCTGGGAACGAGATCTCGAATGCTCCTGAGAATAACAGTTTGCAGTTTCTTTTATGCATTTGGAACTAAGGAGGGAACATAAATGTTAGGTTTGCCGAAGGAGGAACGCACAAGGCCAAAGAGGTTGAGCAAGGTTTATTGTAGTAGAGTGACAGACCGGCTGAGCCCCAACTACAAGGGTACCTGAAACTTATATGGGGCTTGAGGCAGGCCTTTTGGCGGGAATATTTTGGGCGGGTAAATTGGCTGAGAAGGGAGGAAAGCTCAGTGAAGTGGGAGGTAAGCATGTAGCGTTGCCAACCCGGATGCAAGGTCCAGTTCCTACACAATGATAAGGGAGAAGTTAGGTTTCCACAGTATGGGGGTAGGGATAGGGCCCTCTTGGACCTAAGAGTAAGGAAGATTATATGAATGTGGGAGAAAGCAAGGCAGTATTGGGTTAGAGATTAGTTAAGATTATGTTCTCTCAAGGGTAGTTTCACCTTCAAGCAGTATTATTTCTGGCATTTCAAAAGTGTGCTTACCTAGATGTACAAGGGCTTGCTTAAAAACCTGTCACTAAAGAAGTTATAGGCCTGGGGCATGACTACCCACCATGACCTGCCCACTTAGGAATTTATGATTTATTACAGTGCCCCTTTTTTGTCCACAAAGGAAAAAAGGAAGTCTGGACCCCTCAAAATGACCCACAGCAACCTCCCAAGCCAGTGACATGGAGTTCATTGGGAATAGAAAGAGAGAAAAAAAATCTTAAAGGAACTGAGTCCCTTATGTGGCCCAGGAAAGGATTTAGGGCTCTTACTATGATACTTAATTTCCACAGTGTTATGTTGGTTTCCATGTCTTTCTCCCCCTTGTAAAGTATGAGCTTCTTGAGGGCAGGACTGAACCCTATCTGTCTTTGTATGCCTTACTTCTCTCCTTGTGCCTGGCCCAGAAACTTTTCAGTAGAGCAAATCACTAGCCCCATTTCACAGATGAGGAAACTACTGCTGAGAGAGGTCATCACCTGTCCAAGACATTACACAAGTGCCAAAGTCAAGACTGGGTGATGAACTGCTTAGCTCCAAACCAATTCTTCCCATTTTGACACAGCAGGCGAGTGAGTGGGAAAGAGAAGGGGGACGCATGAGGTAATTGGAGATTTTAATACATATTAATAGGCAGCAGATTGGCACCCAGAGACATGCTGGGGAGGAGACTGAGTGAGACTGGGTGGCATGGAGTATTAACACAGGGGAACCCATTGTGCCAACTTATCCATTCAGATTAGACAATGCTGATTCTTCCCCATCTGCCTTGGCTGACCTCACCGAGGAGTGAATGCAGTAGGGACACAGTTGCATCTTATGTCAACATGGAGTCATAGAATTAAATAATAGAATAGGATCACAGATTCAGAGAACAATAACTCAGTACCTTGGACATGTCAGGTAGT